TCCCATTTTTTGGCGAAATCACATATCTCGGCACCCGACCGACCGATTTCGACTAAACTTAAGACGTGCTATTTTTCTCATATTCCCATGTTCAYGGGCGTATTTGGACTAAAACCACGCGTACTTCCCATATAACATATTTTTGAATTCCATTTGATTCGTTCACTTTCTAGGACAAAAATCAAGAAGCAATTTATATAATGGGATTAAATTTTGAACGCATAATGTCTTTAGTGTGTGCCACCTTAAGATCAAAAATTGTTTAAATCCAATAAAAACTTTTCAAGACCCTAAGTACCGAGTATTTTGACCCCGGTATCTACAGTTGACTTTTGATCGAAAATGTCGGKCAATGTGTCGCTTAATCCTTCTCTTATAATTATATGTCTGTATGTCGAAAATGGGTTGAATCAGACCAATACTCTCTTAGCCCCCATATACTTAATATAAAGATTTTCCAACCAATATGATAGTTATCGAAATAAAAATAAGAGAGCGTATTTTACTCATAATAGTTTTTCTTTGTGCCAAAAATAGATAAATTTGAGAGAAAACTTGGCCAACCAATATGTGAGTTATCGAAATAAAAATAAGAGAGCGTATTTTACTCATAATAGTTTTTCTTTGTGCCAAAAATAGATAAATTTGAGAGAAAACTTGGCCTAGCCGCTATATTTCGGGCTTTTCGAACATCCGGCGGACTTTGCTCCATATGTTTGGTGATTATATCTGAGGTGTCTTAATGAAATCCAGGGAATAATTGGGTTGCACCCGAACATAGCCTCTCTTACTTGTAAAAATTGTATTATGTTTTCTTTAAAATATAGAAAACCATTTATTATACCCTGAACGGAGTATCCACAGTGTGCTTTTAGGATAACTATATATGAGGTTTACCCATATTTCATATTCTGGTTTATGATAAAAAATATCCTTTTATTAAGTTGTTATTCGAGAACAAAATCCGATGCTGAAATCATATTTGTAGGAAAGTTTTGGACTTCCTAATCTGGAGTTAAACGAGTTTTCATGTAAAAATTTAATGAATAGCTTTTATATCTTTTTTATTGCTGATCTGATTAATAATTGATGATATTTTTTATCTACCTCACTCTTCATCTAGTGCATTATTGCTCCGGATAAGAATGACAACACTAATTGACAAGTATTATTGGGATTATTTTCTCATTTCAAGACATTTTTGAATATATGTCATAAGCTTATCAGCGTATGTATAGCAATAATAGCGATAAATAGGCTTAATGGGCAGCAGACAACAAATTTGGCTGTACATAATCGTTGATGAAACATTAGATAAAACGAGAAGACTTTTGGCTATTTAGTGTAATCATTGTATATTTGAGAACTATTATTAGCTTCCAATTAGTAATGTTATTTTGATGACATATTGTAATTATATTTTTTTTTATTTCAGCAAAGCATGGCAAAAGTAGGATTAGTTGATGGTAGGAATCGGGGAACTACTTAGCCTTATTATCATTATTACAGATAATTCATCAACGTATTAGAACAATAAATTTTGATGGTTTTGGATTTGAAAAAAATTGTATTAGGTTAAATTTTCCTTACCGGCTGACACATTCGTTCGAAGGTTCTCTTCGAAATCGTCTACGGGACGATTTTTCAAAGGCCTATTATTAAAGTATTGAATAGTCGAAAAAGTCTTTTCGTATTTTGTTACATTACAGCTATTCAAAAATTAGTGAAAATAATGAAGAAATTCACTATATTTTGCATTTTTTGTATAAATAAGGGAAGAATGCCACGAAAGCCACCAATGAAATTTCTGAAAATTACGGTGACGATGCTGTATCCGTTCGTGTAATGGTTCGCTCGCTTTCGTTCTGGAAATTTCGATTTACACTGATTGAATAATGTCTCTAGCGGAAAAGTTGCAAAGAGTAGTCGACCAAAATGGTACATATTTGTTTATGTATTTATTAGTATAAATATAAAAAAAAAATTTGAAGTTTGATTAGAAATACGAAAAGACTTGTAGGTGAGCATTCACTCTGACAGCCGAGCGGCAATAATAGTGTTGAGTTCACTACCTGTGTGCACAAAGCTAGTCAAGGACTACCTGACCTCATTGGAAATACCAACAAATTACTACATCATCAGACTCGTTTGGGCACCTGGTCACAGCAGAATTGCTGAAAACTGCAAAGACAATAAGCTTTGAGTAAAGCAAGAAGAAACCCACGGACCACTCATTTAGATTATTAATGAGGTAATGCACCGTGAACTACTCATAGTGGAGTGGGATCGAGTTAGCTCACAGTGGTTATGTTGCGTTCTAGCACTGCTGTAATGGACCTTGCGTGCGCATAGCTGGCGCCGTTCGAAGACCAGACCCCTCAATGAATTGTTATCTGCCCTCATTGGCTCAAAAATACAATTACTTAAACTTGTAACTGATTGTCTTGAGTGAAAATATTAACTCTAACCTCCAAAAAGGTGAACAAAATAATCACTGATGTATGAGAAAAATTTCGTATAAATATGTACATTAATGTATGTACATATACATATATGTATGTATATAAGAAGACAGACAAAGCTTGAAAAATTCGACAGTTTGTCGCACCAAGTACGAATAAGTGTTTATTAAATCACAATCGATTTGCATGCCATTAGTTAAGCTTAATATTTATATATTAGCACATACATATACACACGCACACATGTGTACTCCCAAGGTACATTGTGGCACATATACGCCTTTAATCACATATATTAGATATTTGTTTACTATATCGGCYAATGTTTGCATAAAAATCAGCAAACAAGCTGGCAAGCAAACAAATTAACAACAACTTCAACTACGATAACAACAACAGCAACGGACCATCAGTGCCACGCAAAGCTGTTAACCTCAAATTGCACATGATCAACGCATTGYGACTATTGAATTAGACTTGGCGAACTGTTGATATTGGCGACTCCTATGAGGCGCGCTGAACGCAGGGGGGTGCTTTCCCCACGTTAACGCTATAAARTCAATTTTATTTTTTTTAGCTTTTATTTAATTGTCCGTTTAGAAAATTCCAAGTAAACACACAATTTCTTTAGATTTGGACTATGCTTTTGCCTTAAACTGCTCTTAAGTTCAAAATTATATAGTTAGTATAGTAATTTTAAATTAAAATAAGAAGAAAGTATGGTGGCTATATTCTGTAAACGTTTCCCATACAAGAACTTGTTCACAGGTCAATTTGTATGAAAGCTATACGTTACAGTGGTCCGATCTGTATAATTTGGATGGAGATTGCAACGTTGTCTTGGAAAATAACTTATATGGAWTTACRTGAAGGTATCTTGTCAAATAGAAAAGTTTGTGTTGGATAGGTCAGTTTTTATGTCAAAATTTTCGAAGACAATTTTTCAAATAAAACTACGAAATTTCTACACAGGAACTTGATTTTCRTCGGTTAGCTGGTATGCCAGCTTTATCTTATAGTGGTTCGATATCGGCGGTTAACATATACGAACAGTCTCTTGATGAGAGCAGGACATGTGCAAAATTTCAGATTCTATGTCTCAGGAGTCTAATTCGTGTATATATAGACAGACTGCAAGATAGACGGACAGACAGAGACTGTTCATTCTTTAATTACWGAATTATACAGTTAGATGTCCCTGAAGTGCTGAAATATACATTACAAAGCTTCCATTCCTCTATTTTTACATCGATTAGAGCTCAGGAACGAGGTTTTTTATACTTTRCTAAGAAGATTTCTGAACAGAAGATTCCACTAATTGATTGAACAAAATGGTGTAAGTAAAAATTAGAGTGCATTTAAAAGGGTTAACTGTAAACTAGATACTATATTATAGCGACTTTAAAAATTTAAACAAATARTTTTACGAAGGATAGATGAATCGATGCGTGGTCGATCGCTCAGGACCTACTGATTTACACAAAAGAGTAGTAACTTCCTCGAAATAGGGATATATTTTTATGATGTTAAATCCATAGTTCCATTGTTCTAATGAAAGAGCTCTGAGAARTCACGAAAAACCACGTCAGGTCCAATTCGAAGTGTACTGCTCACACYTTCTTCGATTGTCGAGACAGAGTGCATAAAGAATACTTAATAGCGAGGGTAGTAATAGCAGAAACAGTCAAAAACGTAGAATCATGGCCCGTGTCAGCTGATACGACCCGTCTTATGGGCGCGCAATGTAAGTGAACAGTGAAAGACGCTACTCCCTTCGCTCTTTGACGKRGGATGCGGGAATCCACGGYATTTTGGTTTTTGCCGTAGAAACATGTCAGCTGATTGCTCTCTCACAACGCAGGGTTGCCAATCTCGATATACGGTAGTAATTATAAAAGTTGTCTTCAATATGTTTGAAATTTTCTTAATATAACTCAAAATCAGAGTCGAATGTTATTATTTATAAATATATAAACTATTTTTAATACTTTGTTGCCAGTTGTGATATTTTATATTATGAAAAATTGTAATTGAAAACTTAKATGTGTACAAAACTATACATGCGTATTGATCAATGGCAACATTGTTCAAATGGAAACAAACAAAGATGGCTGTTTTCTGCGTTTTTACCACGGGCTCAACTTTTAACACATTTTGCTCGCTAAGGAAGGAAAAGGAAGGAACATTTATAACTTTGATGTTATCTGACTTAAATGAAGTCAATACTCAAACTCTAGCACGATTTTTTTATGTCAAAATGAGTAGGTTCGTCGTTGACTGCCGCTGAGTCAGCACTGTTAATTCTCTAGTCGAAATTGTGTAACAATTTTGGTACCTCCTAGCGGTGGGGGTTTTTTTTTATTATTTTTTAGAAGAGTTTAAATTTTGTAGAGCTCATCACCTCCAACCGAAGGTGAGACTTCCAGCCCAAAACACTTTATAGTGTGAATGGTGACTTTGTGTGGTATCTGAACAAATTATTGATGATACCCAAAATAAATACACATAAAATACCTGGATAAAGTATTTTTAACTTACCGACGCTAATTATCTCTTGAAGCAGCTGCTCGATTGGAGTTCTGTGAAGCAGAGCCTTGCAGCAAAATCGCTATGTCTGCTGAATATCAATTATTATTTTTTGTACGATTTTTACCAAATTATATTCAGGTGTATTTTTAGCATTCAAATTCAGTCTCACTTAATTTCATTGAGTTTAAATCGATTTTCAAATTAACACAATTCAATAATTTAAAACACACAGCACGTGGAAGTCGTGTATATAGGAAATTTACAGATTATAAATATGTATGTATGTAAATTTAAGCTTAATTATAGTTCTTAGTTTTTTCTGCGTCTGCCTTTTCTACGTATTTATATCGGTTTTACGTTTTTTTATTATTCTTTTTCGATGCTTGAGTTCCACAATAACTGTGTTTATTTGCTAAGAATAGAAATACATATATATTTATTTAATTTAAATGTTATTTCATTTTTGTAATAAATTTTATTTACTTATTTTTTAGTTAAGGAATTTTTTGTTGCGTTTTTGTGAACTCCATTTTAGCGGTTTTAACTTTCTTCTCGCACTTTTATGGTTTTTTCTATATAAATTTTCACTTCGTATTTTTATTGTTATTGGCGTACTTTTATTTCCGAAAGTCTACGAATCTAACTGAGCAACTCTGTTGAAATTTATGATTTTAAGACCAAGCTTATTCAGTACAGTTTTAAAAGCTCAGTTAAGTGAAAAGAAGGCACTTAAAATTTTTAATACTATCAAAAAATTATATTAAATTCAATTATTAATTCTAGCATATCCAGAAAGCACAAATAACTACAAAATAATTTGGTTATCAGTTTCACATATTTAAAATAACAGATGCAGTATTTACTATTACTTTATTTGTATTTAATTTTTATACTTATATACATATATATATTTTTTAAAATTTATTTTCATTAATTTGATCTTTGCAAATTATTAAAGGAAAAAGTGCTATTAATACTATATATGTTACGCTAAAAAATATATCCCAAAAGTTTTAAATAAAATACGAGCACTGAAATTTTATTATTAGCATATGAACCCGACTGACCGTCAACAACACATTTTTTGTAGTTATTATAAAATATTGGCCAATGCTGAAATCACCAAAATATTGCTTATTGTTTATATTTTAATCGACACCAACTGAGTCAATTATTAGCAGCAATGAATTATTAAAATCAAAAGTGTACATTTTTTAACTTAAAATGTCGTTTTATGTACAAACAACTAGTTATTTTCTAATTATCAAGACACAAAATTAATATATTGTTTTGTTTTCACTTTTAAAGTCAATTGTCACAAAACTTGTATACAAAAATACATATTTTTTATTATTATTTCTTTAATTTCTGTTTTATTTTCCCTTTCTTTTCAAAAGATTTTGTTCATATTTTAATACCGGAAATAAATTCACTGATGACATTCATAAGTTTGTTATATTTTTTGTGTATTTATAAAAGTGTACGTATTTATATTTTTATACAGCAATTTTATTTTTAGTGCAAATTAGTTTTTATTGAATTTTTTGTATTCTTTTTAAAATTGTCCTTCACGTAAAATAATAAAAACATTAGCTATAATCATTTGCAATTTCCGTTTTTTGGTTTTTTTAATTTATTTATTTATTTTTTTTTTTGTATATATTTTTTCGTTAGTTCAAAAACACTATTGTCGACACACTATCATGCATATGCATTCACTTCCTTTCCGCCTGTTGCTGCCATCAACGCTATTTCTCTTCCCTATGCACTTGTTTCGGCCTCTAACGTACCGTTGCCTCACAAGATTACTTTGTCTGTGAAATCATTTTCGGCCTCCAAGTTATTTTGCTTTGCTCCATACATATTTACTAGTACATTTGTCTATACTTTCAAATTTGTTCCTTCCTTTGCTCATACACAGATCCATATGTATGGACATATATACACATGTATGTGCAWATGTGCAAACTTCCTTTGCTTGCCTTCTTTCTTCTATGCGTTTGCGATTTTGTTGTTTCGTGAGTCGCTTTGCCAACGAAACTGATTTTTTTCGAAATTGTGAAAATACAGAAAACGTCCGAATGTGTTAATACCAATACTAATACTACAACAACATTATGACCAACAACAAAAATATAAAATATTTAGTTTTGCCAGCTTATTCCACGATACTTTTCAGCTATCTGTGTGGTGTGTATGGTGAGCATTTAACGGCAGCTTGCCGTTACTCACAATATATACTCATATAGCACATATACTACACCATATATCATGTATGTGTGAGTAGTTGTTCTCATGCTACACTGTGCTGCAGTAGTTTGGAAATTACATGAAACTCATTAATGAGATTAAAAGGTCTTAGTAGTGGACTAAATTAGTAGCGTAGCGTAGATTTGATAGTAATACAAATCTCAAAGGCAACTGTGTATATTATACTATGTTCGGACCGACATTGAAAATATTTTGAAAACCCATTTGTATGTTGTGGAATCTAAATCGTTCGGACCGACAATGTGTSCTGTCGATGAGTTTTCATTGACAACTATCAAAAGCGGCATTCTCTTGCTCTTGCAAGATTGCACGGTAACACAAAATGCAAAAATCCTATACCGAAATATGCAAAGCCAAGAGAGCACCCGTTGCAGAATCTAGTGATATATACCACAACGGAACCGTGTTCCAGGATTTATATAAAAAACATTTCTTAAACATTTAATGCATATTATGCTTTGTGCTGAAATCCCATTTTTCTCTTCGTGTGATCTCATAGTGGTTATCAAATAMCGACTTATTTGAGCAATTTTTTGGCAACTTTGGATCTTGTAAGTAGAATATGCTGCTATCAATTTAATATAACTGAAGTGGTAGTAAAAAAATTTCTTTAATAAATTTTATTCATGCATTCTCGGCCATAATACTTATTTTTAGCACGTCCGCAGATGTAATATTTTGTTACAGAGTGTAATCTCTGCGCTTTGTACTCTATTTTTGTTAATGAACGCTTGGTCACTTTTATTCATACATATTTACATACATACTTATGTACAATTTTGCTCCCACTGGGCGCCCATACACATTCAAAGCTCCATCGTCACCTACTTGTCACCGTTACGGTTACAACAAAAATAGAGAATAAAAAACACACGTATGTAAATCCTTCCTGCATTGGCTTTGCACTTGCTGTAAGTCATATTTCCTCTTCATTTTTAAATTTACTCTCCAATGCTCTCTTTTAAATAAAAGCAACTGTTGCGTCGCTCTACTCAACGTTATTTATAAAATATGTTTTAAGTTCTCTGGTTTTTTGTGGTTTTTTGGTCATACACATTCTTATACATATGCTATATGTATTTATGTATACTGGCATGTGTGCTTCATTAAGTAAATGGACAGAAGACAGTTAGAATCCTTCTACCATGGTGCAACAATCCATGGTCCTAGTGAGAAAAGTATATGTGCGCTATTCTGCAATGACAACATTATTGCAGTCGATTTCAGTTACATCTACCGTGTTAGCTTCATCTTCACTGAGACCACCAAAGATAGGTATTTGATTAATTTSATTTTATTGATAATCTCATCACCGCCTCGCATCGTATTTTTGTGTTAAATTCATTAATAATTTAATAAACAAAAAAAAAACACACTTTGTCTTCTTCTTGACTGCAAGTTYAGTTACAATTGTCATGCCGGTCAGCTGCTGCTTGGCAACATTTTGTTGACATAACGAGCAATAATTTGTATAGTCTCGCAACATGTTGCTATGAGTACAATTTGACACTGAACATAATATAATAAGTTTGCCACAACTGTTGTAAAACTTGGAAGGAAACGTCGAATGCCCTATAAAGTTTATATACATACATATGTACATTACTCTTTTACTCCTCAAGATGCTGCTCATTAGTCTTAACCACTCGACTTCGGACCATTTTAGGATTAGGTGCCATACAAACTGATCGATCCAATTTAAGTCCTTGTATGGAATACGTTTTTATTTAACAAAATATTGGACAGGGATTTACGTATTTCCAAGGTAATGATCATGTACCCTTTTGTACCGTAGATAATGAAAACACCTGTGAAGGGGACTATAGCTACGGTGTAGCGTAGCTAACGTTTTTCCTTGTTTTATTTACCTAAGTGTTATTTGTAACTCCTAAAACTAATCAAGATGGATATGTACATATAAAGTGATTTATTTAATATTACTAGGATGATGAGATGAATTAAAATAAATTTTAGAGTTAAGTTCTGGCAGGTTTGTATTCGACAACTATAAATTTTCAGTGCCCTCAAATACCGCACATGAGGAATCAGTGATTATAGCTGAATTTATACAAATGGAAAACTGTAAAGAAGAAAATCAAAAATTCAACCCAATAAAGTCTTCTATGGAAATATTTTTACTACTTTTTTACCGACAATTTTAAATSCTACCGTAGTGTAGTTTTTGAGAAAACTCGTAATGACTTTCTTGGGAAATTCCAATATTTTCTAACTCATGAAGTGTCATATTTATCATTCGAATGATTGATTATAGTAACGGTATTGAGTGACTCATAAATTGGAAATTGTAATGGAAATATATATAAATACTCATGCTTGGTGCATAGTTCTCAAAGCTTTCAAGTAAATCGAAAAACAAGGTTAGCTATGAAACTCTATCTGCTAACAGTTTTTGCCGTGTTGGTCCTTTTGGTCCTTCCATCAGCYGCAAATGCGGAAGGTAAATACTTAAAAATTTAATCTTTAATGGTAATGCATCGAATTTCTCATTGATATAATATTTACAGGACAGAATGCCACTGAGGAACCACCACCGTCAAATCCTACAAGTCCTCCACGTCCTGGACCAGGACCATTCAGACCTGGATCTGGACCTTTCAGACCTGGACCCTTCCAACCATTTTTCCCCATAAGACGTTTCCCTTGTGCGTAACTACTATAATTTACCGACTTATACTTATTAATTTACATTCTTTTTATTTAAACTTTAGTTCCTCCATTCAACATAACTGGAAATTTCAGTGGTCGTCCCTTCTTTCCATTCTGTTAGTATTATACTATAAAATGTCTATTTGTGTGTTGAATTTTACTTTTATTTAATTGTTATTATGTTATTTTACACTGCAGAATTCTTATGCCCAAAAGCTAGACCATCCAAATTTGTTTAAAACGAAAATAAAGCTCAAATATAAATATACCACAGCTCCTTATTCCCACTTTCTTGTAAGGCCACTTTGTTTATATAATAAATTTTTTTGCTTAAAAAACAATTATTTAAATTTAATTTCAGCTGTTTACTCTGATGACGATGTTAGCTCAAGTGTGCAGGATGGAGATGTCAAGGCGCAACTTGTACGAGAGCCACGCGTCGCTTCCTTTGATTCTTTAGTCAACTGGTAACCAAATTCTACTTTATTTAATAGTTTACTGTAATTGGTTTATTTATTTTTTTATAAAAACAGTATTAAACATTAAATATTATTGTAAATCAGAAAGAGCAAATAAAGTAAAAATAATATGCATAAAATACTATTCTTTAAGAAATTTCTCTGAATATAACAGGTTGAATTGTACCAAGAAGTATTTTTTGTTTCAAACGAACTAAAGAAGATTAACGAGAGTTGCGAATGATCAGGAGGATGAGACGAGTGGAAATCCGAGTGACATATGTCCATCCGTCCATCCATGCAAACTGTATCTTGAGTAAAAACTGAGATGTCATATTGAAATTTGGTATATACATTAATACCTCGGCAAAAAAGAAAGGACGACCATGCCATATTATGACCAAAACCTATTCAAATCCAACAAAATTTATTTAACGTTTTTTGTCGCAATTGCATTGAAATTCATGAAAAATTCTGTTCAACCCATTTTTGATACACAGACCATCAACATAAAATATTTTTCCATGAATTTCAATTTAATATCTCACATATGGTGACTTTATACCTAGGGTGACCTTTTCAAGATCTCATTTACGTACACAAAAAAAATTTTTTTTTGCCTCTTTCTATAATGATAGTTAGATTACTATAAGTTTATATTATATATAGTTTTTAATTAATGAAAAAACGGTGCTTGCAAATGCAATTTAATTTA